CTTAGGTATATGAGTTGCTAAGAGATTACATCTAGGCATCCTGCAAAAACTTGGTTAGTTGTGTGTTTGGTATGACTCAAGAGAGCCCAAGTACCTGAAAGGTAGTAAAAACTAGTGTTGCTGTTGGGGCTGGGAAGATGGCTCATTGGTATAGTGCTTGCCTTGCATGCCTGAGGTCCTAGGTTCTATTCCTCAGCACCACATAAGCAAAATTTAAAAAGCTGGAAGTGGCGCTGTGGTTCAAGTGGTAGAGCGCTAGCCTTGAGCTGAAGAGCTTAGGGACAGCGCCCAGGCCCAGAGTTCAGGCCCCACGACCGGACCCCCCCTCTCCCCCCCCCAAAAAAAACTAGTGTTGTTGGGCAAAGCCTGTAATCCTAGTTTACTCAGTAGGCTGAGATCTAAGGATTAAAGTTCAAAGCCAGCCCAGACAACCCAGGCACAAACAAATCTAAGAATTTTTTTTTTTCAGTTGTAGGGCTTGAACTCAGGGCTTAGGTGCTTTCCTTGAACTCACAGCCTCCTGAGTAGCTAGTATTACAGGTTTGAGCCACTGGCACCCTGCAATCCTAGCTACTTAGGAGGCTGAGATCTGAGGATTGCAGTTCAAAGCCAGCCTGGACAGAAAAGTCCCCATGAGACTGATCTCCAGTTAACCACTCAAAAACCGGAAGTGGAGCTGTGGCTCAAAGTGGTCGAGTGCTAGCCTAAAACAAAAGAGGTCAGGGACAGTGCCCAAGTCCTGAGTTCAAGCCCTAGTATGGTCACTCAAAAAGAAAGAAAAGTTTATTGAGCATCAGTGGCTCGTGTCTATAATTCTAGCTACTCAGGAGACAGATCTGAAGCCAGCTAAGGTGGAAAAGTCTATGAGATTCTTTTCTTTTCTTTTTTTTTTTTGTTGGTCGTGGGGCCTGAACTCTGGGCCTGGGTACTGTCCCTCAGCTCTTCAGCTCAAGGCAGTGCTCTACTAATTGAGCCACAGCGCCATTTCTGGCTTTTTCTGCTTATGTGGTACTAAGGAATAGAACCCAGGGCCTCATGCATGCAAGGCAAGCACTAGATTCTTTTCTTCAACTGGGTAATGGCCAAGCAAGAGCTTGAAAGTGTCCTGAGTTCAAGCCCCAGCAGGCATACACACAGGAGGGAGCGAAAAAAAACTGACCTAAATAGCTAATTTACAAATGAAGATATAAGACAAGGTGTAATATGTGTATCTGTGTAGTTTCAGCTATTTGAGAAGCTAAGTGGAGGATCCGTTGATCCTAGCAGTAGTTTAAGACCAATTTGGGCCTAGGCAACACAGTGAGACCTCTACCTCTCATAATAGGAAAGGGGGGGCTGGGAAGGTGGCTCAGTGGTAGAGCACTTGCTTGCATGCAAAAAGAAAAAAGCTGGAAGTGGCGCTGTGGCTCAAGTAGTAGAGTGTAGCCTTGAGCTGAAGAGCTGAGGGACAGCACCCAGGCCCAGAGTTCAGGCCCCACGACCGGACCCAAAAAAAAAAAAGAGGAAAGGGGATGGGAGGTGGGGAAGAGGACAGAAGAGATAAATACATTGTTATTCAAGAACTTCTGAAATTGGAATAACAGTGAGGTGCCACTACATACCTATTCAAATGGTAAAAATCAAAAACATTGATAACTCAAAGATGTTGAGTAATGGGAACTCATTGATTGCTGACAGGAATACAAAATAGAACAGCCCACTTTGGAAGACAGTTTGGCAGTCACAAAATTAAATACAACTTACCACATAATCCAGCATTTGGACTTCTTGCTATGTTCACATGAATTGAAAACTTGTAGTCTGCTCAGTACCTACTCAAGCAACCAAAATGGCCTTTAAGCACGTGAATGATTAAATTGTGGTACATGTAGGCAAATAGTACTTTGTGCTAAAAAGACATGCATATTACTTCCTTACTCTGTGCTAAAAAGACATGCATATTACTAAGTGAAATTTAAAAAGACAGTACTGGGCTGGGAATGTGACTTAGTGATAGAGTGCTTACCTAGCATTCTTGAAGCCCTGGGTTCGATTACTTAGTACCACATAAACCCAAAAGTCTGGAAGTGGTGCTTTGGCTCAAGTGGTAGAGTGCTAGCCTCGAGCAAAAGAAGCTCAGGGACAGTGCCCAGGTCCCTGAGTTCAAGCCCAAGGACTAGACAAAAAAAAAAGCTGGGCGCTGATGGCTCACGCCTGTAATCCTAGCTACTCTGGTAGCTGAGGTCTGAGCATCATGGTTCAAAGCCAGCCTGGGCAGGGAAAGTTTGTGAGATTTTTTTATCGCCAATAAACCACTCAGGAAGTGATGCTATGGCTCAAGTGGTACAGTGCTTGCCTTGAGCTGAAGAGCTGAGGGACAGCACCCAGGCCCAGAGTTCAAGCACCACCACTGACAAAAAAAAAAAAAAATACTGTCTAGGTCCATTCAGGCTAGTATACAAAAATACTGAAAACTATATAAGCAACAAATTTATTTCCTCATAGCTCTAGAGACTAACAATAGAGTAGAGACTAACAATAGAGTAGATCTGTTGAGGGTACACTTCCTAATTCATAATACTGCCCTTTTGCTGTGTCCTTGCATAGTAGTAGAATGTAGCAGTGTTTGGTAAGAACACTAATTTCATCATGACTTAATGATGGCCACTTCAGGCCCCAACATCCTAATTCCACATTTCTGATTGGGGAAGAGAGATGTTTATTTTTGTTGTTTTTTGTTTTGTGTCAGAAGTAGGGCTTGAATTCGGCCTTGAGCTCTCGTGCAGCTTTTTCACTCACAGCTGGTGCTTTACCACTTTAGCCACCTTGTTTTCCTTTTTGCTAATCAATTAAAGAGTTTCTCAGACTTTCCTGCTCAGGCTGTCTTCAAACTGCAATCCTTATATCTTAGCCTCCTGAGCAAATACGATATGGGTGAGCTTAGAGTGATTAGGTTTTAAAAATTAGGAATGTGGCTTAGCGGCAGAGTGCTTGCCTAGCATGCACAAGCCCTGGGTTCGATTCCTCAGCACCACATAAACAGAAAAGGCCAGAAGTGGTGCTATAGCTCAAGTTGGTAGAGTGCCAACCTTGAGTGAAAAAGAAACTCAGGGCCAGTGCTCACACGCTGAGTTAAAGCCCCGGAACTGGCAAATACAAAACAAACAATTAGGTGTGTTGGTTGGTTTGACTGTCAGTGGGGCTTGAACTTGAAGGCTGGTCACTGTCCTTGAGCTCTTTTGCTGAAGACTAACACTACCACTTGAGCCCTAGCTCCACTTCTGGGTTTTGAGTGGTTTATTGGAAATAAGAGTCTCACAGGAGACGGGCACTGGTGGCTCATGCCTGTAATCCTAGCTACTCAGGAGGCTGAGATCTAAGAATCGCAGTTCAAAGCCAGCCAGGGCAGGAAAGTCCATGAGACTCTTACCTCCAATAAACCACTAAAAAAACAGAAGTAGCACTGTGGCTCAAGTGGTAGAGTGCTTGCCTTGAGCTGAAGAGCTCAGGGATGGCACCCAGGCCCAGAGTTCAAGCCCCATGACCAACAAAAAAGTCGCACAGGGACATTTCTGCTTTAGCTGGCTTTGAACCACAATCTTCAGCTCTCAGCCTCCTGAGTAGCTAGGATTACAGGTGTGAGCCACCAGTGCCTGGTTGGGCTTTTATTTGCTAATTGGAAATACGAGTCTTGGGTACCGGTGGCTCATGCCTGTAATCCTATCTACTCAGGAGGCTGAAATCTGAGGATCACGGTTCAAAGCCAGCCCAGGTAGGAAAGTCTGTGAGACTCATCTCCAATAAGCCAGTAGAAACCAGAAGTGGCACTGTGGCTCAAGTGGTAGAGCACTCACCTTGAGCTTAAGAGTGCAGGAACAGTGACCAAGCCTAGAGTTCAAGCCCCACAATTGACCAAAAAAAAGTCTCGGATTTGTTAATGTTAGCTTGCTTCAAGCCACAATTTTCAGATCTTAGCCCCCTGAGTAGATAAGATTACAGGTGTGAGCCACTGGCACCAGCTGTGGTTATATTCAACTTTTCTGACTGGTCTGACCTCAAACAATAATCATTACACTCTCAGCCTCTCAAGTAGCTGGTACTGAAGAAGATATGAGCCACTAGTGCCTCTCTTAACAAATATTCATAGCATCTGCATAAAGTATTTTTTAAAAAGTTGCCAGGTTTTGGTGGTTCATGCAGGTAATCCTAACTACTCAGGAGGCTGAGATCTGAAGATCTTGGTTTGAAGCCAGCCCAGGCAGGAAAGTCCATGAAACTCTTTATCTCCAATAAATGACTCAAAAAATCTGGAAGTGGTAGAGCGCTCACTTTGAGCAAAAGAAGCTCAGAGATAGCACCCAGGATGGGGTAGGGGTAGGGTAAGTCGTGTGCACAGCTTACTGGACACTTGATCTAGCCAGTGCCTATGGCTCATGCCTGTAATCCTAGCAACTCAGGAAGCTAAGATCTGAGGATCATGGTTCAAAGCCAGCCTGGGCAGGAAAGTCCATAAGACTCTTATCTCCAATTAACCACCAGAAAACTGGAAGTGGTGCTGTGGCTCAAGTGGTAGAGTACTAGCCTTGAATTGAAGAGCTGAGGGACAGCGCCCAGGCCTAGAGTTCAAGCCCTACAAAAAAAACGAAGAAATAAAGCTTAATTATTGTGTTGGGGGGGGAGGTTGGAGGCAGGATTTTGGTTGATGCAACATTAGAAATAATCTTTTGTTTTGTTTTGCCAATCCTGGGGCTTGAACTCAGGGCCTGGCCACTGTCCCTGAGCCTCTCTGAGCTCAAGGCTAGCGCTCTACCACTTGAGCCACAGCGCCACTTCCAGCTTTTTCTGTTTATGTGGTACTGAGAAATTGAACCCAGGGCTTCATTCATGCTAGGCAAGCACTCTACCACTAAGCCACATTCCCAACCCTAGAAATAATCTTTTAAATGAATAATAACAGTTCTGTCTTGACCACAGCTATATGAATTATAATGGTATGTTCATTTTACTTTCTTTCCTGCCAGGATAACCCTCCATATGATAAGGGGGCCTTCAGAATTGAAATCAACTTTCCAGCAGAGTACCCATTCAAACCACCGAAGATCACATTTAAAACAAAGATCTATCACCCCAACATTGATGAAAAAGGGCAGGTCTGTCTGCCCGTCATTAGTGCTGAGAACTGGAAGCCAGCAACCAAGACTGACCAAGGTAAGGTACACTCTTGTCTGCCTTGAATAGGGCTTTTTGAAGGCTGTACTGTGGAGATGAGGCTTGAGAATCCCTTCCAATGCCATGCCGGATATAGTCTAGAAATCCTACTGTACCAACTCAAGTGCATGTAGAAGTACTGCAGAGATCCGACCTATTTTGGGGGGGCTTGTGTAGACCTGGGAAGGTATTGAGTAGGCCCTTCTCTGACTGCTCCATTGGTCCCCTAGGACATAGATAAGCCCAGTGTTTTGTTGCGAATGCTGCAAAGGGGGTGTGAGCACTGGTCCTTGGAAGTGGCAAAGTATTGTAGTATTACCTAGAAGAGAAGAGAGAGTGGTATTTCAGGTTGGCTCATGCAACATTTAGCACCTGAACTTTGACTTCATAAAGCAGAGGAAGTGAGGCACTGGTGGCTCACCCCTGTAATCCTAGCTCCTCAGGAGGCTGAGGTCTGAGGTTCGAAGCCAGCCCAGGCCATGAAAGTCTGTGAGACTCTTAGATCCAGAAAACCAGAAGTGAAGCTGTGGTTCAAAGTGATAGAGCACTAATCTTGAGCAGAAAAGCTCAGGGACAGCACCCAGGCCTTTAGTTCAATTCCCTCAACTAACAAGAGAGGTTGATGTAGTCATTTCAGACTAACCATAGGGTATGAGCCAAAGTCCTGTGGTTCTGAGTGTGTGTTTTGAGGGAGGGAGGAAGGGTAGACTTGAAGGCATAAACTTGAATATATAGTTGGCTGTAATCTGCTTGGAACTCTTCTGAAATTGGGTGTCGTTATGTGCATCCATGTGTCTGGGTGACACAGTCATACTTATTTTGTGGTAAAAGTATTTTGATTACCCTTCCCTCTTGTCCTTTGGAAGTAACAAAACTTTATTCTTTTATTTTTTTGCCGGTCATGGGACCTGAACTCTGCACCTGGTCGCTGTCCCTCAGCTCTTCAGCTCAAGGCTAGCACTCTACCACTTGAGCCACAGTGCCACTTCCAGCTTTTTCTGCTTATGTGGTGCTGAGAAATTGAACTCAGGGCCTCATGCATGCAAGGCAACCACTCTACCACTGAGCCACCTTCCCAGCCCATAACAAAACTTTATTATGGACTCTAATTTTTATTAATTTCAGGCTTTATGTTTTGAAGTCTTAGTCTAAATAATGGAATGAGCATGAGGTCTGTTCAGGTTACAGAGTGGAGAAAGCTGTCCCTGGCCAGGCTGCAGTGAAGTTTTTCAGTGACTCTGGCAATTATTTTTTGGTGGAATCCTGGAAGATAGAATTGAAATCCTTTCACAAGAAAAAAATGGAGTCACAGCTAAGTAGTTAATAGGTGTAATTACTAGATGCCCAACCATGGAGTGATCTCCAGTGGGTTTGACATTTGATAGTATGGAAGTTGATGTTTATGATGGCTTGATTCATTTCTTGATGGGCCAGACTGGTGTCCCCGGATTCTTAGTTCTAGTGGAAGTCTACAACTGCATTTGCTAATGAGTGTCTTGTCAACCCATTCCTAGGAACCTTACCTAATAGTCAGGTGTCTCTATTTAGCCAGGCCTATGGGGAAGTCCTTCCAGGCCAGGCTGCTTGTTTGGATAAAATGTGTAGCAAGTCTGAAGTTGGGATGTACAGATAAGAGTGATGGTTATAGAAGCAAAGCAAAGCCTACTCAAAGCTCACTTGAGCCAACTTGTTCTAAATAGTTGCTGTCCTAATCATGCTGCTGCTGCTTCTTGCCAGATGGAACTCAGGACTTGGGCACTATGCCTCAGCTTTTTTTTTTTCAAAACTAGTGCTATGTCACTTAAGCCACAGCTCCACTTCTAGCTTTTTGGTGCTAGTTGGAGATAAGAGTCTCACTGACTTTCCTGCCCGGGTTGGCTTTGAACCACTATGCTCTTAAGTTGCTAGGCTTACAGGCTTGAGCCACCAGTGCCTGGCACAAACTTCTTTTTTGCTTAGGTTGGCCTTAACCCACAATCCCACAATCTCTATCTTCGAAGTAGGTGGGATTACAGGCTTGAGTCACTTTGCTGGCTTAACTAAAGTTTCTTTAAACACATATAAAACATGGTTGTATATTAACAGTAGATGTTTAGACAGAAGTTTGTAGGACTCTTTTTTTTT